GCGGTAGTGTAGGCACGCATTCCAGGCCAGTAGTAGTGCTTGCTGAGAGACGCAAAGGTCTTTTTCTGGCCTCGATGGCCGGCTGTGACATGGTCGTGATGTGAATGCAGAACGTGAGTGAGGAACTCAGGGAATTGTGGGACGCAGATGCGCCACAGTCCATGAACGCGGATGTGCAGGTAAGGCTGGACGTAACGAAACGTAAATTGGCGATGACAAAACTCGATTTGCAGAGCTTCTCCTGGTTGGTTTGCTGCGGCTTTGTAGCGAACGGAAAAACAGGTTCATGGGGCAGAGGCGAAGGTGGGGATCGCAGGGTCCTTTGTCTGGGTTGTCCAGCATCTCTGGCCAGTGCCGGATGGCTTCGATTTCGTATTCTGCAGATTTGACGCCTGCAATAGTGATGGTATAACCCAGATATGTAATTGTTTGCTTGGCAAACTTGCACCTGCGCAATTTTGGGTAGAATTGATGTTTAAGCAAGGTTGTGAGGACTTGTTGCGGAAGGGAAACGCGCGCAGAGAGTTCGGGGCTATAAATACGCGAAATCCATTAAAAGTCCCAAAATCGTAGTTCTTCCTTGACCCCGTTGGGGCGGTGCCCCACACCTGTGCCCAGGTCATCGCCAGCCAGTACCTCGTCAAGTGGCGTAAAACACTGGAGGACCAAGCCATGTGGGACACCGTTCACCACCTTACAGGATGCCCGGCTTTGGTGCATGATTGACACCGCCTCCAGTGCAGAAGTCTTCAGGTTCGGACCCGCATTTCCCCTTCCAAGGCGTAGCGGCTTGAATCCGTCAGCATAAGCCGCCCGCATTGCAGGCAATCAGGCAATTTTCCATGCCGCGACGAAGGCGGAGGGAGCGCTGCGTACCCGCATGCGCTCCTACAGGCTCTATATAGTCAATGCATTAGCAGTAGAGGCATACACACACTGCAGCACAGCAGAGCAGTGAAGAGAACTCAGCAGACACAGGAGAGAACCGAGGTAACCGGAACATTAAGGAGAGATCAAGCCAGAGAAAGTGATACAAGAATAGAAACTGAAGAATGCAAGAATAATGTATGCTGGGTAGACCGGTTCAGTCCGGCAAGGGGGGGAAGTGGTAGTGCGCAGGCACGACAGTGGGGCTTGCTGGTGACTTATAGAAAATAGCTAGCTGGTGACCTATAAGAGGCTTGCATCCCGAACGAGCACAGGAACTTCTTATTAGTAAATAAGTAAGGCAATTTATAAGCAAGATAGCATGTAGTGCGCAGGCACTACAATAGCTTGCTGCTCTAGTGCACAGGCACTACAATAGGGCTTGCTGGTGACCTTGAGAAGAAAGCTAGGTGGTGACATCTAAGAGGTTAAGAGGTTAAGACGCTGATCGACCGCGAAAGCTTCTCATTAGTAGAATAGAAAAGTAATTTATCAGCAAATTAGCATATATAAACTAGAAATGTCTACGAATACCCTAAAATTGGAGCTGTCGATAACGCCGGCGCCGGTGAGGGTCACTTCCCAACCGGGCCAAGAAAGCAAGAACCATTTGTGAGCGACTTTCGAGAAATTCGGGCTTGAGAACTCGGAATAGGACTGCCTTTTTGATAATTTGGTAGTTGTTTCACTAAAGATGCGTTGAAAGTAGAGAGAACATCATAGGGCACCCTAGTCGTGGGCCAGGTAGCATCGTAGCAGCTGCAGAGAACGCGGTGTACTGCATAGCACTCGTAAACTAGAAGTGTCTGTGAATATCCTAAGATTGGGGCTTTCTATGACGGCGGTACCAGTGCTGGACAATGCCCCAACCGGGTCAAGGGAGTTAGAACTATGATTTTCGACTTTTAAGAAGTTTCGATTAACAGACTCAAAGGATGACGGGTTATTGATTATTTGCTGCTATTTTATGATATATGTGTCGAATGTCGAGGATTTGCCAGAGGGGAACCCTATTCTTGTGCCAGGAAGTAACGTAGTGGCAGCAGAGAGCGCCGTGCACTACACTACTCGTGCGCCAGAAAGTAACGTAATAGCAGCCGAGAGAGCTGTACAGTTACCCTGTTCATATGGATCTGTAGATTTGTGGGTACAGGGCAACAGAGAGGGAGAGTCAGGTGTGCTACTGCAGGGTATGTGATTAGGAGTACATACGAGACTTCAAAAGACGATGAAAGCTGTCTCGTCACTGCCGCGTTGGGCTATTCAATCAGGCCGCCCTAACGATTCTCGTATGAAGGGTACACCGTTTCGCCAAACTCTTGCGGGAGTCCGCACAGCCGTGTCGCGTCCAAGTCACAGGACCATATCTTGTTAGCTGGTGATGCCCCTCCTCTAATATTTGAGCCAAGGCAAGCATAGCCCAGCTGCTGCAGTACTACAGCGACAACTTGACACAGGACCGGATGAGCTGAGTGCTCTGTCCCGCAGGGAACTGCGCTTCATCACTTTGTAAATGATGCCCCTTAAAAATTTGCTGCAACGCCCTCTACAGCCATATATTGGCAGGAAGGATCCTTCATATTACATGATTTTGCTGACCTCCGCACGCTTCCTGTACCAAAACCCTGCTCAGAGAGTATAACCTACAGCTGGCCCGATATGAACTTTTTGACACGGGCTCACTGTGGGGATTTTTTAATCACTACAAATATTTCCCCGATAGCACTTAACACAAGTGATTAGTTACACAAAATGGACTAAGGCGGGAAAACGGCACCTACAAGTCGCTGCATGCCACTCGCCGGGGTTTGGAAGGGTGCGCAGCGTGGAGACAGATGCGGAGAACGAGGGACTTACCGCGCACCCCTCACCTTGGGAATGTTGTGTTCAATGTTGTTCATGTTGCAGCAGCTGGCGGGGTCCAAGCCATAGGTGCTGTCTTCCTCTCCCGTTTTTCTTAAATCTTTGCTGCACTCGAGAGGCCATCTCTTTCTGAAGGATCCACAAATGGAGATTTCTTGTAATTCAAAAAGAAGTTGATAAGCTTTAGAACTCCGTGCTTCCCCTAGGTTTTTCCCGCACTCAAAGGTGCCAGCGCCCACACCACAAAATCTACAACCCCTGCGCCCGCCCTTCTTTTCTCAGAAACTCCTGTTCTCTAGCAGAACATAGCGTACTGTAGGCAGCAGAGCTATTGCAGTATGACTGAAAACAGCCCAACGTTCCGTAGTAGTTAGAAAAGACTGAGTGCCCTGTACTGCACTCATACCATGTGCATGGTGGAAACACAAAACCCCAACACAGCGACCCCATCGGAAGCCCGCATTAGGTATCATTCATGAACCAACGCCAATCAAGCAGTGCCTGTGAGCAGCCGGAGGTGCTCCCCATCGGCAAATGGAGAGCCAAGCTGATCATGTCCGCGTATTGTTCCGAGCAAGAACTGTCCTCGCATACTATTCGGAAGAGTATCCCTGGCGTTTTGAGAATGTGCTTGGCTGAATCTGATTCTCTGGAGTCAGCGGAGCCTCCGATTCTTGTGGTGCGCTGCCTTGGTGAATCCAGCACCCATTACTCCGCCGTTCCTTACCTAAAGTCATTTAGAGCTGGCCATAGCCAGCCCACTTTTGCTGGTAAAATTAGTCTGAGCTTTTTCTAATCCATAGTTGGGTTGCGTCGAGTAGTCTCGAGCCCCCAAACTACAACCTATAACAGCCTAGCGTCACATAGGGCACAATGGCCTCTGACTCAACGGCACAAGCGTTCCCAAGTCTATAGTCGTGCACCACCGCAGAGCGACTCCAAGCCTCTGAGAATATTGGCTGTCAAACCCCGAACGTTTGAGAGCGTTGGCTGCCAAGCCCCATCTCAAGTTGGATAACGAAGAAGCATCCAATGTGTGGCCTGCAGCAACGGCGGTGGAATGACGTACTGTGGGATGCAATGTCGAAAGGCTTCTGGAGACCACAGCAATTAAATACGGGAGCGTCTGCTTAAAAAGTTACCTTTTGCAGTTAGAGGGGTGCTCGCCCACTAGGAGACCTCTGGTGGAAGGGTGGGGAGCTGCAGTGCTCGGCCTTCCACCGTGTACAAGAAAGGACCACAGAAGGCGGATTGTACATAGGACAGAGTAGTTCCAGCAGCTCACACCCAGTTTGTTCTTGTTTCCTGGACCGCTTAAAAGGCTACTGCCAACGAGGCACTTGGTATGGGGCTGGCCGAGACTGTGTGCATAGCACATCACCGTTTCGGCGCACGGAAATAGTCCTACTTATTTCGATACTCCAGGCCTCCGCATTAATTGGATTTTGCATTTTTCATGGGAAGTTTGTGAAATATGGAGTATAGATAGGGTTCGCACCTAGATCGGACTTGGTACTCAAAGTTGCGTAGCAGTGCGGCAACGCACTGATCACTACAGCTGCTGCTGCTGCTTCACCTGCTGCGTTGGGCGGTGTCGTGCTGTCTTTGCGAAGTTGTCTCTGGCTATGTGGTGCTGAAGTCAAACAGCTTGAGGCCTTCGGGTTTCTCGTGTGATTCCGCCTCTCCACAGTAGCTAAGGCAGGAGCAAGTTTGCTGCTGCTGCTACTCGTAGCCTGCTTCCAGCGCAGGCTGAGCGCCGTCTGCTGCTCTGTCTCGCCTACGAATATCTTTTCCTTTAATATATCGGTCTTCTTCTGTTGGCTTAACTTGTCGGTGCGGTGGGCTTGCTGCTGGAGCAGCACTAGTAGCGCGACGGCAGAATTTTCTTTACAATTTGAAGGGGCCAGCAACACCAGCAGCCGTCTCCAGATTAAATAACCGTTGTCGTTGGTTAGGAAGTCTTTTTCCAGAGAATCGAAGGCAGGTGCAACATCTTCTGCAGTTTGGTTCCCCGTGGCCTCTGCGGCGTGTCTGCATACGCTCTGACGAGCTTGCTGCTGCAGTGCTGCTGCAGCACGTGCAGGGGGCCTTAAGCCCAGCCTCATCTAAAGTAGGGCCAGGCAGTGGTGCTGGGGAAGCAGCCACTGCTGCTTGCGTCTTTGTACCGCTGCCGGTCCCCTTTCTTACTGTTGCTCCTCCGTGAGTTGGAAATGACGGGTGCAAGCCCTACCAAGGGCGGCTGCACCTCTCTGCAGGAGGCGCCGCATGTCGCAACAGTGAAGGAGGTAGGGAATTTGACTGTCACCCCAGAAGTGGCGGCGACGAGGACTCTAACGGCAGCCCCGCAGGCAGCAGCGCCACTGTGCGTGGGCTTGTTTGTGTTGCCGCCGTTTTCAGGTGTTGGAGTACCACGAAACATGTTTGGAGTCGGGTTTGCCGGCCGAAGTTGCGGCCGAGCGCCTTGAGCGTTTTGGGCCAAACGAGTTGAAGCACGAAGAGGGGAAGAGCCTCTTCCAGCTCATTTTGGAACAGTTTCAGGATCTGCTCGTCAGGTGACTTCCTCTCCATGTCTTGGGCTGAGGCGATGCACATGATGCTGTCTTTGTACATTTTTCTCATTTCTCGTCTGTTTCTTGAGTGTGTGCGGAGCCTGCTGGTCTTCTCTGTTACCTGTTGTTTATGGAGTCTTTCGGCCAGCTCCCTCTGGACACTGGGACTGCGGCGCTCACCAGCTGCACAGTTTGCTGCGGTGTGTCCGCTTCTGTCTGATGCTTTCAGGATTCTTTTGGGGGCTGCAGTCATCAGCTTCGCGTTGGCAGTGGTGGAGGGGGGAGAGGGCGGCATCGCCGCGTATGTGGAGCCTCTTGTGATTCTCATTATTCTGTTTCTTAACGCTGCCGTTGGTGTCTGGCAGGTGCGGCTTTCACGGGAGAGGTGGCAAGCTATTGCACTGAAATGGCAAACTATTGCCCTGTGTGCCTTCTGTGGCGGGAGCTGGCCATATGGTGGTTGAGTTGTGAGTTTTGATTTTTGCTGCAGGAGTCCAACGCTGAGAAAGCACTGGTAGCTTTGAAGCAGCTGCAGCCGCAGCAAGCTCGAGTTTGCCGATCAGGGGCTTGGCGTTGCGTCTCGGCCTCCAGCCTCGTTCCCGGTGACCTCGTGGACCTCCGCTGTGGCGACAAGGTGCCGGCTGACTGCCGCGTCGTAGAGCTCAAGACCGCCTCCTTCAGAATTGAACAGAGCCAGCTCACAGGCGAAAGCGTTGCTGTGCTGAAGGTAAGGATGCCACACTAAGCACTTGCCGTATTCTTTTTCACTTTGCGAAGGTGTACTAGTTTTGCTGCGAGTATGCACGAACAACTTTTGCGTTTTTGCAGACTGCTGGGGGGTGCTTGATTCAACTGCATCCCGTCGGGACAGGAATTTCAGGGGGTTGGGCATGCAGGGACCAGGGGCTAGATTGTTTTGTGCTCATCATGACTTGCTCCGTTTGGCTGGTGCTGCTGCGCTTGCAGGATACTGAGGCGTTGCCTGCATCAATGCGGGACTGCGAGATTCAGTCGCAGCGCTGCCTGTGTTTCAGCAGCACGACGGTGGCGCGTGGGCGTGCGCTGGCTGTAGTGGTGAGGACGGGCATGGCCACCCAAATAGGGATTATTCAGGCTGCTGTACACGAGGCGGGAGAATCTGACGACACTCAAAGCCCACTGCAGCAGAAGCTGGACGAGTTTGGAGAGGCCCTCAGCAAGGTCATCTGCGGCGTGTGTGTTGTTGTGTGGCTCATTAACATCGGGGTAAGGACACGGGAGTTGGAGGACGGGAGCGTGGCCAGCTAAAGGCACAGCAGTAGCAACCGGGCCGCTTGTGTGGCGCTTGTATTCTCAACTGCAGCAGATAGCACCTGCACTGTGGGAGGAAATGAGGGCAAAGTCGGGTCTTGCATGCTTCCTTGAGCCTTATTGTGCGATTCTTAAGCGGATCATGTGAAGTTTTTGTGTTTGGCTTTTCAGCACTTCAGCGACGCCGTGCACGGTAGCGCGTTGCGCGGTTGCATATATTACTTCAAGATAGCTGTTGCATTGGCAGTGGCGGCCATCCCTGAGGGTCTGCCAGCAGTGATTACGACCTGTCTGGCGCTAGGAACGCGGAAGATGGCCAAGAAGAATGCTATAGTCAGGAGACTGCAAAGTGTAGAAACGCTTGGGTGCACCACTGTCATTTGCTCTGACAAGACAGGCACCCTTACCACCAACGAAATGACTTGCGTCAGATTCTGTGTGCTCGGCAAAACCGGAACACAGGTGAGGCGCCATCACACTACTGCGATTCTTCCTGCTGTCGCATGCTATGAGGGCGCATTTTGAGTTGTTGCAGAGCATCTGGGGTATTGGTCGGTTGCCACCTCAGATTGCTTTTGTTGCATTTGTGTTGAGGTACTTGCGTTGCATGCGGTGGAGCGTTTCTTTGCATTTTTGTTGAGGTGTTTGCCTTGCATGCGATGATTTCGGTGGCGCGTTTAGGTGGATGTGTTCACCGTGGATGGTTCTGGCTTCTGTGCAAGTGGCAATGTTTGCCGGGAGGCGGGCGGCGCCAAGGGCTCGCAGGCTCTAACAGAGCATCAGGCGGTGTTGGGGTGGTTATGTCGCTGCGCGGCCATCTGCAATGAAGCGCACCTGAACATTGCATCGGGCTTCCCGGATAGCGACCATTATGAGCGAATGGGAGAGCCAACAGAAGCAGCGCTGCTCGTCCTTGTGGAGAAGCTTGGGCTTTTCTCTGATGAACAAATTGCTTCAAAAGCCAATACAAAGCGGAGCGTTGCTCATCCCACACCCTTCTGGTATGTTTTCCCTGTCGTACGAGCGGGATTAAAGTGTAAGAACAGGATACGGAGCTTACAGCAGAGACAGGATTGCCGCTGAGAAGAGCTCAGGTAACACTGTCTTGTGACTGCATGGCATGTCTTTGCGCAGTGACTACTGGAAAGACCAGTACAAGGATCTGGCGACTTTGGAGTTTAGCCGGGACAGAAAGAGTATGAGTGTCTTGTCTCGAAACCTCAAGACACAGAAGAACGTGCTTTTTGTCAAGGGCGCTCCAGAGACACTCCTGACACGGTGAGCAGCCTTTGCAACGGCAGGCTTGCAGGTTGCATCTAGGTTCGAGATGTCGGCATTCCTGTGTGTTGGCACTTGTGTAGTCTCACGTGCAAGGCGCATGCATGCAGTGTGTACATGCGGACCAAGCTCTGTATGCCCGTTTGGTGAATCGCCCATGACTAGGTTTGCAAGTGCTCATGTTCTCTGCGTCCTTTTCGCTCCGATGTGGAAGTGGGGTGCCGCGTTTGCTGCTTGGCCGTGTTTCAGGTGCGAGACGATGATGCTGCCTAATGGCGAGGTGGTCCCGCTGACCGAAGCTGCGCGGAGTGTGATTTTGGCCGACGTGGCTTGGATGGCAAAGGGTGCCCTTCGTACTTTGGCATTGGGCGTTCGGTTGGACGCTGGACCGCTCGCAGACTACACGGGAGAGGAGACACCCCAGGCAGCCGCTCGCGGCCTTTTGGACGACCAGGCGGGGTACGCTGCCTTGGAAGACCACCTTTGCTTCATCGGCGTCGTTGGCCTCTTTGATCCTCCAAGGCCCGAAGTGGGGAACGCCATTCTGCAGTGCAGAGGTAAGCAACCAGTTTCACGAGCCTCTCTGCTAAACACAGTCCAGAGCGGCAAGCGTGAGGCGTCTGCCTTCAAGCCACTGAAGCTGAGGCAACGCTACGCACTGCAGCAGCGGCAGCAGCAACCCAGCCACAGTAGTGCTCTTTAGCCCACCGAGGAAGCGTCAGCTTGCTGCCACAATGTGTGAAGGCTTCATACAGACGAGTAGAAGCGGTTCACGGTGTGGGATGTGGGAATGGTCCTTGCTTCGCTTCTTCAGATGCTGGCATTCGCGTAGTGATGATTACTGGAGATAACAAAGACACTGCGGAGGCCGTGGCTGACCTCGTTCACATCCGTGAAGGCTTTGACAAGAGCTTCCCGTCTTACACAGGGAAGGAATTTGAGGCGCTGTCTGCCTCCGAAAAGATGAAAGTCCTTTCCTCGCGTAAGTTGTTCAAAAATGTAGGGGCGTCGTAGACACGCGACGTGTACCCGCTTCACAGGGACCCGGCTCACGCGAAATGAAAGTGGGGAATAGCGGCTGTTATGTCTCACGGTTTAGGCGTGTTATGTGATGCGTGTGGCAGCGGGTGGCGCGATATTCTCGCGTACGGAGCCCAAGCACAAGCAGCTGATCGTGAAGCTGCTGAAGGAGCTGGGCGAGACCACAGCCATGACGGGAGACGGAGTCAACGATGCACCTGCGCTTAAGCAGGCAGACATTGGTGTCGCTATGGGCATAGCGGGCACGGAGGTCGCCAAGGAGGCTTCGGATATGGTTCTTGCAGACGACAACTTCAGCACGATTGTCTCTGCAGTGGAAGAGGGAAGGTCGATCTACAACAACATGAAGGTCAGCGCACACAATTTTTGTTGTAGCACTGTTTTACAGGAGTTTGGCTTCTAGTGGCATACCATTCCAGTTGTCATGCAGGTGTGTTGTGTCAGTATGGGTTCCATTCTTGCTGACCTAGTTTGTCTGTCTTTTCTACCTACCTGCCCTACATTTGATTCCCGTCATGGTGTTTTAGCGGTTTGGGTTCCATGCTGTGGTTTGTTCGCACACACGTAACAGTGTATGTGTACTACTTTGTATGTAGTGCAGCATGACATATGTGAAGCCATTATTCGTGAGAGGAAACCGCCCGTGTGCCTAGTTGCTGCGAATGTTCTGCAGGCCTTCATTCGCTATTTGATCAGCAGCAACATTGGCGAGGTGGCTTCCATCTTCATGACTGCAGCTCTTGGTGTTCCCGAGGGTTTGACCCCTGTGCAGCTGCTGTGGGTGAACCTTGTGACGGATGGACCTCCTGCAACCGCGTTGGGTGAGTCTCGCCGAAGACTGCGTAGCATTAAAAGACTAAAATGTCGTTTTGACATTGCCGGCTAGTCACTTTTTTTGACAGCTTCTTGCTTTTGTAACTTCTTCCTCGTGTTGTTGTAACTGCTCGTGCGTGGCTTTTTTGAATGTACAGGTTTTAACCCCGCTGACGACGATGTGATGAAGCGGCCTCCGCGACACCGCGACGACCGCCTGATTAGCACTTGGATCTTTCTGCGTTATCTGCTGGTTGGAATTTACGTTGGTTTCGCAACGGTCGGCATCTTCGTGTGGTGGTACGTCTTTGGGACGGATCCTTCGGAGCCTCACACTCTTCTGACTCTGCCCCAGCTTATGGCTTGGGGCCGCTGCTCTTCCTGGAAAAACTTCAACGCTGTACCTGTTTTTGGAATGCCAGCGGACGAGCCTTGCTCCTACTTCACTATCGGCAAGGCCAAGGTATGAGGCTGTTGAAATTAAGGTTCTATAAAGTTTTGGAGCTTAAGAGATCGGGCTTGCGTCGTTTAGTTAGGCATTTCCGGCTTCCTGTGTGCACCAAACGTAAACAGATACAGCAACAGCCGTTGCACCCCTTTCACTCGTGCTGTCCTGCCAAGACGCAGCCAGTATTTCTTTTGCTTGTGAAAGCTTGTATTTGTCCTCTGCTTGCTGGTAGCTTTTGGGTCACCACGGCCGTTTGAAGCTTCTGTTGATCTGGTGTTGCCCTGCAGGCGAGCACGCTTAGTTTGACAGTGTTGGTCGTGATTGAAATGTTTAATGCTTTCAACGCTCTTTCAGAGAACCACTCTCTCCTTCGCATGCCTCCCTGGGTAAGGTTTTTCACGTGCGGCGTAGGAACGTACATTTTTAGGGCGTATGGCCAATGCAGCGCATCTTGGTAGTAGTGGCAGGGTGCACCAGTGATGCGCAAGTAACACATAGATGGGCAGTGGTCAACTTGCGACCGAAGTGCATCGCGAGTGCCTTCGGAAGAGTTAGGATTAAATATTTGCTCCTGCCTTCTCGGCTCCTCGCTCTGATGGTGTACTGAACCTGGGGTCCTTGTGTACATTCAATTCAGGCGAACCCTTACTTGCTTCTGGCGACTGCTTCTTCCCTCGCTGTTCACTGCGCAATTCTGTACATTCCCTTCCTTGTAGGTCCTCACCAACGGCGAAGCTTGCGAAAACAGAAACAGCAAAATTACTGCTGCCAGCACACTGCCTGTCGAAGTACAGTGTACTGCAGCAGTTGGTCTCTTTTGTTCTTTGCTTGCTTTACCTGTCACATCAAGTGTACTAGTGAAGCGGGCTTTGTACGTTTTCGACTCCGTGCTGCAGAGCCGCGTCTTTGGCGTCGTGGAACTCACGCTGATGGACTGGGTTTATGTGCTGCTTTGGTCTTTCCCTATCATTATCCTTGATGAAATCCTGAAATATCTGGGTAAGGTCTCTTCTGAAGTTGCAGGCTAGCTTGTAGAGCTTCAAGCCGTGTCGAATACTTAGCTATACATAGGGTGTACTGCATATGCCTAGCAGCATATGCACATTTGTGTATAAAGTGCACTTTCGAGTAGTGTCAAAGCCGTTCTTAGCTTAACGGAAGTGAATGCGTACAGCCGCTGAAATTTCGTCATCGTATCCGTGCCCGAACCAAGCCGCGACAGTGCTTGGTCGTATGTTATATATGCAGGCCGCCGTCACTTTGCACAACAACGCGCTGCAGCTGTTACGGCTAGCAAGAAAGAGTGAGCTATGCGAATGCGCCAGGCGGAAGCGGCCGGCCTAGTAGGAGAGGTCGCCCACGGAAGAACAATCCGGCTTCTGCTTATTGGGTCGCGAGAGGGGATTCCTCTGTGTGCGGGCCCGTAAAGAGGAGGGACCTGAATACGAGGACACTTCGCAGTCAACAAAACATATTTGCAGCAGCAGTGGCAGTTTTGCCACTGCCAGCCAGCTGCAGCAGCGAAGCAGCAGCAGCTGCAGAAGGCCCCAGTTTAAGGTGGCCGAAGTTCGATCGCTACTGCTGGGATGGGCGGATGCGTTCTATATGCCCTGCGGTGGTCGCCCAAGCGCCAAGCAGGCGCAGAATAGGTGGTATAGCGATAGAGCCATGATGGTTGCTTCTTTAAGGAACACATGTTGTCTATCCTTATAAGTATGAAAATGAAAGGAAGACGAATGAGCAGTGTACGCATAAATATGAGACAAGCAGCACACAGGCGCAGCGCTCAAATGAACGACTCAATGGCCTGTTGAAGTGTAGAGCAAATTACGAGAGAGGAGGAATTACGCCATTGAAAGCGAATTTTGAAAGCAGTAGATGGCCCTGTAGAGTGCGCGAAAGGTAAAGCTAAGTGAGCACGAGCTTTTCTGGCTGTTTCCTCTGTGAGTAAACTTGATCTGAAGATGTACAGCTGTGCTCAGAATTCATAGCGTGGCGCAGCGGCTAGCATCTGCTGGGCCACGTTGATTGGTGTCGACTGGTGAAATGCATGGCGCTCGGAGGTCTGCTAACAATACCTGTTATATATATGTAAGTAATGCTGAAACTGCAATCTCTGGGACTGGCTTGCCAATAGTAGCAGCACGGAACATATTTAAATGAAAGAGCAGCTGAGGTGTCGGATGCGCGCGAAAGTGAGGGCGCGGAACTCTTGAACTGCAGGGGATACGAAGAAGGGAAAGTCAAGAGGAGTGCAACGGATCAGCAGCATCTAGATGGGGTTTGTTCTCACAGCATTAACGAGTTGAAGATCCTGATGTTTGGTCTACTGTGTATATCTATGGGAAGCCTACATTTCTCTAATTTGGCAGAATGAGCAGCGCACTGGCATGCGGATAGTGAGCTCTATCGTAGCCGTCGCTATTGTTTAGGCCCCGTAGTTTTCTCCTGCTGGCGAGAAGCAACCACGCTTGTCGACATGAGGCCGTTGGTGGTCTGCCAAAAACTGGAGATGGCGATTTCATCTTTCCCTCTGAAGGGCAGCGAGATGCGCGGAGGGCTGCACGCAAATGATGTGACTTCGAGGTGCGCTATGGAGGCGGAGGCAACGGCTTTTGTTTCCCCGTGTGCGCTGATGAACTCGTTAGCTCAACTGTGCAGTTTCCACTTCCTAGGTGACTTTTCTACGAAGCGAGGGCATGACTATAATTCAATTGTGCACTTACACAAGCCATCTAGGTGTGGCTGACTGCTTCCCGTGCAAACTCTTACGATTGTCGCTACCGCATCTGGTGCCACAAGAGCGTAGTTTGCTTTAGCCACCGCACTTTGAAGTTGGTGCTCCCAGATGTCCTGGTCAGGTCTTAAATGCTCAGAGAACGAACGAAATTATGCGCCTTATTAGGCAGCATAGTACTAAAGAAACGCGGCGATGGCGATACACTACACTAAACTTAAGGTTTAGAATTCTACGATGACGCTCAAAACGGCAGCTGCTTCAAAAGCATCCATGTCTATTAAGAAAGCAACAAAAATGTGGGGGTTGCCGAGAATTAAGGAGACTGCCTGCAGTGGGGTCATTATGCAGCAGCGCGCTTCTTAGAATCTTGGTACCCCGCACTAGTCAAGTCGCGGAAAGTCTAGGCTTTATCGAAAAAGGGCCCTAATGGGCAGGCTAGTGGTTTTAATGTGCGGTGTTTGTCGTGCTCTGACCTCGATTGGCGGGGAGTTGCAGCACCCACGGATATGCTCGCTGTTTCGCCTTCCGCCTGGTGTGTAGGTCCAAGCAAACAATCAGTTCACTTTCGCTCCTGTGAGCCTCTGAGACTTTCGGTGTGCATGGCTTTCGCTCTTTCATCCAGGGTCAGTGTCAGGCCGATTTTTTGAGAGTCGCCTGTGGTGTCGTTGCTCAATACTCTGTTTTGAAGCCATCAGCACAGAGCCAGCTGTAAGCTTGCATAAAACTGCCTCGGCGAATTTGGGCTTCTCTTGTTTTGCCGGTCTTGTCTCTTTGCCAGATTTTCGATTTTAATTTCAGCCCTAAAGTTTGACTAAGGTCTTGATATGTTAATTGTGAGCTCGACAGTGTCGCTGCTGCAGGCTTGGTGAAAGGCAGGAAAACCCTTTGATTTTTCGTCTTATGCGCAAACTGAGTCACCCGTTTATCAAATAAAAGCATGTAGAGCTGCATGACAAATGCTTTCAGAGACTCCCCGTATTCCTCTGGTCACTTTTGGGCTATGCAAGCTGCAGGGCCGGCTTTCCTATGTTTACAGCATGGGCCGGCTGCAATTCCAGCAGTGTGGCTGACCTAAACGCGGCGGCTCACAGCTTAAAGCGTCTGATTTCAAATTGATAAATAAAGGAACTCTTTACTTCGTGCTGGGAATTTTCAGGGCCGCATTTTTCCAATGTGTCTATTGTGTAGCGGCCTTGTTCGCAAACAGTGATGGTAGCAGAAAAACTTCTTCCGCTGCCCCACAGAAGCAAGAAAATGGGGATTTAAAGAACTTAAATATTTTTAAATTGCATTATTAGGCGAACTTATCTTTGGCTAATTGTTTTGTGCTGAATTGGGCTGAGACACCAAACAGCCTGCTGCAACACGAAAAGGTGATCGCCAGCTGCTGCCGAGAGTTGCCAGGGTCACTGCAGTTGAAGGGTGTGCAAATCCGTCCGTGAAAAACAGCAATCGGTTTCGCATTAGCTCGCATTCGATTTGTCTGTTTAATAGTCTGCGCTCTTGAAGCTCCTGTTCAGTTCTTGCTGTTATTTACTTGCTTGTTTATGGGCCGTTGAGCACATGGTTTGCTACGACCTTTCTCAATCCTCGCACCCTCGCTGCTAACTCAGCGGTTCCTCTATCCTTGCTGAAATCATGCAGCTCTCTCTTTAGATCGCTAAACAGGTATTCAACTGCTCCTCTCTCTTTTGTCTGACGCTCGTGTGACCACTGGACCTAGGTCGCCGCAGCTGCAAGAACTGCAGCGGCAGCAGCACCAGCCAAAGATGGCCCTCAACTACTCTGCGGGCACTGCATGCCCTGAAAAGTCTTCTCAGGGTGAACCTCTCCCACCTGCGGCTCCTCCATCGTCTCCTGCAGCGGCGATCTCACCTGGTCATAGCCATCGCCTTGCAGATGGCGACAGCTGCTACCTTGTGACTATGGGCCTCTGCGCCCACGTGCGCGCTAAGAATGCGCAAGCAGCAGCCGCAGTGGCAGCAGATGCTGCAGTAGGCGCGGCAACCGAGTCTGCGCCATCGGACACGGCCAAAATTGGCTCTCTCTACATAAGTTCGATACCGGCGCAACAGCACCCGCAACATTTCGAGTACCATCATGAGCAGCACACACACCAGCTGCAGCTTTCGCCGTGTTCTCCACGGCTAGGAACTCCACTTTCCGGGCAGCATCCTTATCAGCAGCAGCAGCAGCAACCTCCTTCGTTCTGCACAATCCATGTAGACAACGGTGTGGCCTACGGAGCTGATTGCGCGGCGACAGAAGCCGTCATAGGCGCTGTAGCTCGCGCAGCCGCAGCAGAAGTATCCCTTGCTGCGGCAAGCTCAGATGAATCCTCTCTTTGCGGGGAGTTGCCCGCGGGTCCCTCAGGAGCCTCACGTGGAGGAAAGCCTGGCGTTGTGGGAGTTGATTTACCAGATATGAAGAATATCCCTCTCGCTATTCGGGTGCCTCCATATAGAGAGCATCTGTGGTACGAATTGAAGCAGCTGCGTCGTTTCTGGCAGATGGACATGCACCAGCGTGACTGGCGTCAGGTGTTTGTGTGTTCTTATTTCCCGAACGCAATAGACCCCTTGCTGCTGACTCTGTTGCGGCTCATCTGCTGCATTTCAGTGCTTGTGTTGGAGTGTTTCGCCTCGATCCAGGGATATCGCGAGGTCGGCAAGGCACAGATGCTTTACTTTACTAACTGGAACAGCTTGCTAGTTGCTGCTGGCTTCTTGTCCCTCAGCATCACTTCTGTTATTGCATGCATAAGCTTCGCGGCTCCTTTGCAGCAAACCTCAAAGCAATCAAGTGCACAGCAGCAACAGCGGCAAGGGCGGCAAACGCACATCCAGGATGACGGTCTCACGCAGCAGCAGCAGCAGCAGCAGCAGCAGCAGCAACACCAGCAACGGCTGCAGCGGCGGAGCCAGCTGTTGATGAGCCCTGTGGAGGAAACAGCATCAACATATTCGCTTAACAACCACCTGCAACACAACTCATGCACTGCATCTCGCGACAGCAGCAGCTGCAGCTTGGGCTTTTCTGCCTATGAGTTTGTGGCGGTTGACGGGCGGCACCCGCGGCCGACATACAGCAGCAGCAAGGCAGCGTTCTTGCCGTGGCTCGTACAGCAGCGGCAGCAGTTACTACAGCAGAAACAGCAGCCCCGCAACACCAGAGCACTTTGTCTTGTGCTTCAGGGATACACAGACCTCATGTCTGATGGACGCTACTGTGTAGAAGGCATACTACTGGCCCCTAACCCCAGCAACCCCTCAGTGCCTCAAAGCTCCCCAAGGACAACCTGTTGGTCCCGCCGGCTTCCGCTTTTTAGCAGGCCAAAAGAGAGTTCTTCCAGTGCTGAAAACAGCAGCGGCAGCATTAGCAACAGCGGCAGCAGCAGCCCCGCTGCCTCGGTGCCCCACCACACTCTGGGGGCATGGGCCTCAGGAGCAGCAGACGACGCGGCTCCCTCTTCTAACAGCAGTAGAGTGGTTGACAAAGGGGTTGCAGGTTCTGCAGCAGCAGTAACTGCGGCTGGCTCTGCAGCAGCAACCATAGCTACTACAGTAAGGGGAGCATCAACAACTGTGGAGTTGCCTTGGTTCGTGAAGGTGACTTGGGTGGTACACAATTTGCAGTTGGTTGCGTCTTTAGGCGTTGCTGCTGTCTTCTTCTCCCTTTTTAAGGCTGAGGACGTTGCATTTCCCGGATCCTGGGTGACAGTGTGGAAACACGCTGTGTTGGTACTGCTGACGCTGCTGCATGCGTCTTTGCTGTCTCGTATTCCCTGTCCCATGAGACACCTAGGCTACACACTAGTGCTCTTCTGCTGTTACCTGCTGTTGCAAGTTTGTGTTTTTGTCTTCAACGTGCCCAACGGCCAAGGGGGGGTCGGCTATGTGTATAAAGTATTTCATCTTTCGGAGCCTGTGAAGGCTGCGGTTGTGCTCTTGGGCATATTTCTCTGCTCATTTTTAATGCATATATTTCTCTGGTCTATATCCCGCAAACGCTGCCTCTACGTAGACCCTCCTCCGTCGGTTTCGGTTACGGCGCTGCAGCTCAAGCGCAGCATCCGTTACGCTGCTGCTGCTGCTGCTGCTGCTGCTGCTGCGGAACAAATCGCAGGAGAATCCGCTGCAGTGAGCGCAGCATCCGATGTCAAGAGCAAAAGCTCACTAGTCCGACTTCAGCTGCAGCAGCAGCAGAAGTGCTGCAGTGACCAAGCTTCAACTGGAAACACTGATGGCAGACAAAGCGGCAGCAGCACCCGGCGAGAGCCGCAGCAGCTCGACGAGCCTGAAGGCGTTGTGGTGCAACAGAGCTAGCGCAAGAATAACGAATCGATTAATGAATTGATGGATAAATTAATTAATAAAGCATGGAAAAAGTGCCACGCGGGGATAGTCAAGAGGCACAAGAGGCGCTTGCCTCATGAGGTGTGTTGAGGAAGCAGCAGGAGTGCCCTGCAAAGGTGCTCCTACGAATGTCACTGTCGTTGTTGCATGCGTCTGATAAGGATGCTTCAAGAGCCGTTGCTACAGCAGCTGACGCAGGTTCCGCCGCTCCCCTACAAGCGGCAGCAGCTGCCTAAGCAGCGGGAACAGACTATGACAGGTACATCTGTAGGTCTCTGGGGGCAGCAACCGCTTTGGTGTTGTTCCTTGGAGGGCATCCAGATTCCGCCGCCCTAGGACTTCCTGAAGGCTGTGCCTGAGCTGCTGAAGCAAGGGCACAGCAATTTCGGCAGGGTGCAGCGCGGCCTTTTGGTATCATCGCGAGCAGAAACTGAAAGTGTGATGTAGAGACTCCAAGGTTCTACAGAAGATACAATTCAATGCTCGAGAAATAGATTAGAGCTCATAGCTAGGATGTGCATTTACAGATGAACTTCGCCGCCCGTTCCTCTGATAGAACTACTCGTGAGAAAGTAAAAGCATGTACGTCAAGTATCCGAATAGTGCGAATCTCATACGCGCTCAGGTGCTTATGCGTCTAAAGGCGATAAACAAAAAATCTACATGATTGCAATATATCTGTACAAGTGGTTGCACGTAAATATCTTGTATACATATACATTTGTTTTGGATGAAAACGCTGACTAATGGAAAACGCAACGGCGAGAATCTTCACGGACCTTCACACAGAAGCAAATGTAATTAGTTCAATCATGGTTGTATCAACAAGTAAATAGTTACACGAATAAAGCAAGCAAGAGCCGGCTGCGCCACACAAGCGAACTGGAAGCAACAGTGAGGATAATGCAGAGATGCTCATATGCGTACACGGCAATACAACCATTGTAAACACCCTTATAAATCTGTACATTTAGATGTAGATGAAGGCGCATTCATGAGCTGATGTACGAAGTAGAATATGCAGAAAATGTGCGTATGTCAGAAGTATACCCTAATGTGCCACTTGAGTGATTATTAGAAATCCGTCCTCGGAAATACGCACAAATATGGGCCTGCCCACTAGCATGCAGCTCCTCTCTCTACATACACAACAACAGAACCTCTGAATCTCTCCTAATAAACTCGGTTTAAGCGAATGGTATTAAACATACATGTTGACTCATTTTAGGGTTTACCGGCGGGGAGATGTTCCCCATCGTCAGCGTTGGGTCCCTAAGCCTTGAGCGGTCCCATTTATGACGCTTGAGGGCGGGTTAGACCTTACCAATGGTACATTACAAAGGACCACTATGTATACTTCTAGAAACCTGAATCTATTAGAGTCAGTCGCTTAGTTTCAGCAAGTAGTGCTGCCAAATACCCAATAACTCACAAGAAGACTCTTAGCGTGCGCGGAAAGAATGTATTTCTTACTTCTGAAGGAAAATCTAGCATAGTGGCTAGTGAGGAAAAGCATTCGATCATTTTCTTGCACAGTCTTTGAGCTAGGCATTTTCAGTTAAGTACTGGTCCCCTGTTCCGTGGGGTCAGTCCCCCATGCCTTAAATTGCCCAATAAAACACAAAACACTCCAAATAAATGATACGTACACAACCTTAAAGACAAATCAAAAACATGGATACGCAGGACCAATGGCTGTGATAGTTTGGGAAGGCACTCCGATGTTTCGGTATGCTTCTTCCGAGAACTCGGCATGGCCAACACAGGAAGAAGCATATATTATTAATATTTTGAATGAAAAGTGACCATGTAAAAATAAAAAAAAACTATGTTGCTTCGTGCCACATACGTAGTATATTTTACATATGGGATGCCTCGCATGCGCCAAGCTGCTAGGGGGGCCGCCTGGACCCTAGGGGCCCCACAACAGGCTTAAAAAAGCTTCGAGACTGGGAAAGGGAACAGCCGACCAAAATGCAAATTAGTTAAAGCGTTGCTCCATTACAGATTCTTTGCTTGCGTGGCACCAGGGAAAGGGCCAAAGGCTCCACCACGGCCCTTCAGGGTCACCATGATGATCGACACAGCCGACGTTTTCTCGTGTGTTCTGCCGTCGCTCACTCTTTGTTGAAATTAAACTGAGAGATCCGTATATGAGGTATGAATTTTTGCAATTTCTCTTCCCGCAAGAGTATGTTTCGGTGGACTGCTGCACGCAGTGCTGCTGCGGTATGGCGGGCTGGAGCACTCTAGCCTTAACCGAAGGCTCATCTTATGGCGCAGAACACGATGCATTTATTGCTCTTTCTTTTTCAAAAATGACTCGGTAACCATCCATTAACATAAGGCGTAGCATTTTCTTACTCGAGTCTCCTCAAATCCAGGCCTATAGAGCCAGTTCTACTTTGTTATTGCGCGGCCGTACCTTCATTAACATTTCCTCTGCACATTAAGCCAGCCACAATGAATCTCATTTTGCTGCACAAAGAAGACCTTCTTATAAAGGAAAATGAGGCGTTTGCTGTTCTTAAAGGCCGCGAGCATACCCACTGCCAGCAAGTGCTCAAGCTTAAGGTGAGACACGGTGTTTGCTTTCGCATTTTGTGTGTTCTTATTTCTCCTTGAAACGACCTTTTACTTGCATTCATGTCACCTTTCACTTTTTATGGCAATGTTTTCATTCATTATTCTGGCTGCCCTTACGCTTTATGGGGCTGTTGAAGGGGAAATCAAACTGTGTGAAGGCACACAACTCTTGTCTTGTCCGCTTTTGGTTATTATGTTGAGCTGCACGCTTGTATTTTTGCTTTTACTTATTTGTGCCTGGGTATTGTTCTTTGGCTATTCTTGAAGCTACTTTCTGCTTGTTTATTTGCATGCATGTGCGCTGCTATGCTCTCGTTGATCTCCGCATTTGTTCGTTTACGCAGTCTGCACTGGTCTCTATCCGCACTTCCTTGTTCATTGAAACTCACATAATGCTGCATTTGCCTTTAAAGCGCCTGCTTTTTCACCATTTTTGATTATTTTCTCCTTTTTGCTCAGACTTGATGTCTTTCGTTTTCTCATCCGTTCTCTTATGTTTCCCGCTTCTTCTTTTCTTTGGCCCATTCCTGTTCACTGTTTTTGTTTCTTAAGTGCTTTCCAACAGCATTGTGTTGACGCGTTGTAGGTGGGCAGCCGTGTTAAGGTCGGAGTGACAGGAGCAGCCACAGGAGAGGCCGAGGTGGTTGCCTGCAAGCCACAGCAGACTGAGCTAAAGCTCTTATCGAGAATTGATTTGTAAGCAAATAAGTCCCAAGCCTTAGCCACAAACTCTAGGCGATAAATCGAGGGAGTTAACCCCGCGGTTTTATTGTCCGTCTTCACAGCTGAAGTGGCTGATTGGTTGGCTTTGTGCCATTTGAATGAGCTGTTCACGTTTCAGTTGCTGCTGAATGAACTACGAAATTGTTTTTTTCCCTTTCTTGTTTGCTTGAAGGAGTATTGCGATGCCAGAGAGTACACACGATAAGTCTCTGCATGCAAGCTAATAGTGGAGCATCCACTGTAACTGTATCTGTTCTCAAGTATCGATATATTCGGCCTTTTCCAAATTTGCAAATTATTTTTCTTCTTTTTGGGAATTTGCACAGAAATCCGGCAAAAGCTCCTTGGGAGCATGTGGAAATCGATCTTCTGCTTGCAATGCCCCGCCCTAAAGTGCTAGAGCGGATGCTGCAGGTAAGCTTAGTGCAGCTGCTGCTTCTAATGCTGCTACTTCATCTTTATTACATCCCTAGTTCGTTCCTGCAGCTTTTAATCTCAGTATGATTTTATTTCCCTCTGTGTTGCCTGAGTTGCTTCGAAGTTGGGTTTGACCCATTCATCGTCCGTTTCCCATCCAGCTGTTTCTATGTCTTAAAATAATTATCGCATTTTGGAGTGTTTGGTTTTTGTCTTTGTCTTAATGCAGCTCTGTGCGGTCGTTGGAGTGCGCCGTGTCTTCCTGGTTTGTGCCGGTCGAACGGAAAAGGGATTTTTGTGTTCTTCACGTTTGGCTGTTGAGAATATACTAGAGCAATTCAAACTCGGTGAGTTGCTGTTCTTGCTGCTGCAGCAGCGGCGTGGTCTTTGATGCTTCTTGGTAGTTTACGGTCTTTCGCGTGTTTTTGTCGTTGTCCTGGCTAAAACAAGAGTGCATGGCACCGGCTATCCGCAGATTAAGGCAAAAAGTGGAGGAAGCTCCACTAAGGTTTGTTGCAGTACCAGTGCTGGCAGTTGCAGGAGCAAAACCTCCAGCTCCGCGGAAACCGCAGATGCAGCGGCAACGTAGAGTAGCGCCGCAGTTATCTTTCCTCCAAGCAGCACAGCTAGCAGCAACAGGGACAGCTGGCAGTTGCAGCAGCAGCTGGCAGCAGCAGGAACGGCTGGCAACAACAGGCGAAGCATCTAACAAGTGTACGGGAGTGTGCCTTTGCACTTACAGGCTTGGAGCAGGGGATGTTGACACAGCCTCCTGAGCTGCATGCATTTGCGTCGTGGGAAGGTTTTCTGGCAGCTACCGCTGCAGCAGAAGAAGCAGCAGCCGCGCCAACAGCAGAAGCAGAAGCAGCAACAGAGCTACCAACAGAATCTTCTGCCTGGTTACACTACCTGTTGCCCCCGCTGCGGCTCGTCGCGCACCCCCACGCTGAGCCAACACTGCCTCAATTATTAGTGAGTTATTGATGCTGGCTGCTTTTGCTGCTGCAGCAGTAAAAGCAGCTTCCTTCCGGCGGCTGCTTTTGATGCTGTAGGCCCTTGCGTTCCTTTGTAGCCATTGTATTGCCAGTAGTAAGTGCATAATTGATGAGTTTTTCCTCGCAGGCAGTCTTTAAATGGACACGCTAAAAGTGAAAATAATGTTTGTGGCATTCCCTGAAAGTCTCTTGTTGCAAACTTTACGGCTTGGTAGTTAAATATTCCGTGAAGGACTTCTCAGCGAGCACTGTGGTACTGTCTGTTATATACTTACTCCATTCAGATGCCTTGATAGTAGCATTTTTATAGTCAACTAGTGCATTAGGAGGCGAATAGAATTATTTCTTTGCCGTCTGCATTTCTATGCAGTTGCGTCCATTTTCTACCGCCACAAGTTCCAGCCAGTTGCAGCAGCAGCAGCAGCAACAGCAACAGCAGCAGGAGCGAGCCGGCGTGCTGCTTGCTGTTGGTCCTGAGGGTGGCTGGATTCCGCCAGAGATGAACTTGCTGCAGCAGCAGCTGCGGTGCTTGCCCTTTCGTTTGACTGACAAAGTGCTCAAGTGCGAGACGGCGCTGACTGCTTGTCTTACACAGCTCACTATGTGTTACGAAGACCCCATGTTCCTACCGCTGCTGCGCTCTCCAGGTGAAGTCTACGCAGCAGCAGCAGCAGCTGCTGCTGCTGCTTCAGGTACAGCAAATGACGCAACAGCAGCTGCCGCAACAGGGAATGGAGAGGACCAGACAGCAACACAGAAGAGAGAGGCACACAAACGTCAAGGCGGACGAGAGGTGGTAAGGGCCATAGGCGGATTCCTCATGACCTTTCCACTGCGCTATGAAACACGAAGAAATGCAGCGGATAAGCAGCCTGAACAACAGCAGCAGCAGCGGCAGCGAGAGCAGCAGGAGCAGCAGGAGCACGTCTGAGTACGGGTGGTTGCTCAAACTCACGATAAATTTGAACTTCAGAGTGGACGGAAAATTCATGTTTAACTCATGCCAGCAACCTGCTGCTAATTTGAGGACATCATCTCTTCAAGAAAGAGCTTGAAGAGATGATGTCCACTCTTGCGGAAGTGTCCACGTATGGTGCAAAAAATGCCATTTCTGATTCTTTGGACGGTGCAAAGAGTATAAATTTCTGTAGCTGCTGGAGGCGGAGTTGTAGCTGTTGCAGCTGGAGTAGCTGCTGCAGCTGGAGTCCGCAAGACAAGACTTTGTCAAGATGCTAATAGATAACTCTTTTTCATGTTCTTCACTTTTTGTTTCGTTTGAAGCAACCTAAACACCTTCTAATTTTGCTACAATGCTGTAAGTGAAAGGGCTACCCATATCTTAACAGTGGCTATGCACAAGGGTACTAACGAAAGCAGGACGAGTGGGGAAAGTAGACTGAGGCAGGAGGCGATAGTGGCAGAGATAACATTGCAGTGAAGTGATGAGAGGAACATAACTTTACTAGGAAATTTTTTATCACGGAAAAACGCACTAAAGAAGCTGCCAAGCTAGGTATTGCGGAAATTAACTACGGTATTGTCTTCAGGAAAAAGCACACTGAAGAAGCTTGGCGGGTCCCGAGATATTGCATGCGCAACAGGGTCAACATACTAGCAGTTAGAGAAGTAAACAGTCAAATTAAAGAATATAATAAAATCGATTTGTTTGCGGTGAAAGGCAGCAGCTGATGGGGAAAGTGAAGAGGACGGCATGGCAGTAAGTGGTCTGATCCAGTTGTGCTGCCGTATGCTGGGGAAACCCATTACAAGGAGTTCAAAAATATCGGGGATAATTCTTACATTAATTGAGTCACAAATGCAAACCAGCAAAGCTTTAAATCTCCTACTTGAACGACAAGAAAGAATGGACGACGAGGGTATCGATCCCTCTACCTCTCGCATGCTAAGCGAGCGCTCTACCATTTGAGCTAGACGCCCCCGTGGGGCCAACCCTCCGTAAATAAAAAAAGGAAATACTAAATGAGTTTCCTTTTAACATTAAAAAAATATAAATAGGGATTCAACCAGAATGAAATTTGAGCGGCCGCGAACACATGCCTCTGTGCTAGACAACTCAATTGTGTGGTTCAGCCCCGTTACCATACTACCTTGAAAAAGAGTAAAGTTCAATTTCCTGAGCAGATCTGGTTAATTAGCAACTATTAAAGCTCACAATTGCCATATATGGCTTGAGGTTTTTGCCTGAGCTTTCATTTGGTCGTGCCAGCCCGCAGGGCAGGCGGTGTGTGTCAGTGTTTGCATGTGGCTGTTCATTTGTTCGGTGTTTTTGTCTTGCATGCATTATTGAAATCTGTATCCACTCCTATTCTCTTGAATCAGAAATGGTCGGATATTTGCGCCTCTCAACGCTGCAGGATTTGCAAATCATTTTGTGAGAAGCGATTTTTACCTTTGCCTTACAACTGCAGCAAACGAAGTGGCTGTACAGTGCACACTCTCGGGCCGCCAGCCACATAAAAAAAAATTACACATGGCAAAATGCCTGTTGCTGTACCAAAATCTGCAGCGCCAGAATTGTTCCTGTTACTTTTGCAACTGCAGCTGCGGCAGGAGCTGCTGCAGCAGCTGCTGAGCTGCTGCAGCAGCTGCTGAGCTAGCCGGCTAGACCACGAGAAATGTGGCGCACTTATTATCCAAATTTGGATTTATTCGCATTGGCTTTCGTGTTTCTCTTGCAGTGGCTGCAGCATTAGCTGTTGCTGCTGCTGCAGCGCGTCACCCTCTCTCTTAAGGTTTGGAAAATGCAGCAGGTCTTCATCGAATTCCTCCTGCGATTCATACTGCTGCTGCTCTGTGCTGCTGTTGCTGCTCCACAGGCGTTCTACGCTGCACACAGCAAAGCAGTGCAGCAGCTTCTGGTGTCCACATCTCAGCAGCAGCACAAGACCCCCAACAGCGTCCAGTGAAAGGCAGCAACTACCTTGCCACAAGCACAAAACGCAGCAGCAGCAAGGCAGATGCAGCAGCTCCAGAAGCAGCAAAACGCACTCATAGAACTCCCTGGCAGCAGCTGTCATGAGGTGTACAGACACTGGACCGAGACAAGCCACAAACCACTCGCTGCTGCTGCTGCTTGTCCGCGACCTGTTTCGCCGTGTGCTGCCGCTGCTGCAGCTGCAGCTGTCGGATACTTCGGGAATCTCCAGAGAGCTTATGAGCGACCGCAGCAATCGAGAGACCCTCCTGCAGCAGTAGCAGCAGCAGCAGCACAGAAATTCCTAAAGACTGAACAAAAAGGCAGTGCTACGAAAGAAAACTATTCTCAGCAAAAAAAGCAAAACTTGACTGTAGTGCAGCAGCTTCTGCAGCAGCTTCTGCAGCAGAAGCAGCACCAGAAACCGCAGCAGAAGCAGCAGCAGAAGCACCTGCCGCAACAGCAGCAGCAAACCTGCAATGAGCAGCCGTTCCGCATGTCCCAATAAAAGCAACAAGCCCCAAGTCTCTTCGCTGCAGAGCCTCCAGATTCAGACAGACCACGTCCGTCACGCCTTCCTGTAGCAGCAGCAGCAGCAGCAGCAGCAGCAGCAGCAGCAGCAGCAGCCTTGGAAACCATTGGAAGATAACTGAAACCGAAACACTACACATAGGCGCGAGGTGCTAAGAAGGCTTGGTTGCGGCACTTGTTGAGGTTCCTGGATTCTGCCTGTTTTGCTGTTTCTGTTGTTGCTGCTGCTGCTGTTGCTGTTGCTGCTGCTGCTGCTGTTGCTGTTGCTGCTGCTGCTGCTGTTGCTGTTGCTGCTGCTGTTGCTGCTGCCACTGTTCCTCACCTGAGCCAGAAGAGACTTGAACTCATCCAAAGACGGATACTGGCCTGTGCGAAACTCCAAGTCCCTGACACAAGGACACACAGTGCAGCAAGCTGCTGCTGTTCAGGTGCCTCAGCTGCTGCTGCAAGTGCTGCTGCAAGTGCTGCTGCAATTGCTGCTGCGATTGCTGCTGCGAGTGCTGCTGCGAGTGCTGCTGCGGACTGCGAGGCTGCCGCTGATTCTGCTGCTTGCGCTGCACAAGTTCAATTGTCTCGCTAGGTCCAGCAGGCTTACACTGGAGGCACAGCAGCAGCAGCAGCAGCAGCAGCAGCAGCAGATCCTGCTGCTGCAGACCCTGCTGCAGGGTGAACTGGCCAGCGAAAGCCTTTGGGAGGTTTGTGAACAGGATTGAAGAATGCTTTCCAGTCCTCTTCCAGTGTTTGTGCTGCATCATCCCATTCCTCATCTTCATCAGCAGCAGAAGCAGCAGCTCCCGGAGCAGCAGCAGCACTTGCTGCTGCTGCTGCTGCTGCGTGCTTCCCCCGCAGGTACTGCTCCGCACGCTGCAGCAGCAGATCCCTGTTGTCTCTGTAAAACCTTTGGGCTGGAGTAAGAGTAGCATCATCATCTCCATCCCAAATAAACTCGGGGGTGCCATCACCTGCTGCTGCTGTTGTTGCTGCTGCTGTTGCTGCTGCTGCAGATGTTGCTGCTGCTGCTGGCGGTCCTGCTGCTGCAGCGATGTGGGGAGGCAGCAGCTGCTCGAAGGACTGCTGCAGCATCCCCCGCAGCCCCCCTTCGGCTGACTCCGCAGCAGAAACACAGTTAAGGAAGCTCTTCTGCCGCTCAGCAGCAGCAGCTGCTGCTGCTGCTTCTGCATCGGCCTCTGCTGCAGCAAACATCTCTTGCTGCTCTTTGGATAGCACAATCTCTGCATGCACATGTAATGGAGAATCACCTGTAGCATCACCGCCATACGGCGTGTCGCCTTCAGATTCCATACCGCTGTTGTTGCTGCTGGAACTGCTGCTGCTGCTGCTGCTGTGGCTGCTGCTGCTGCTGCTGCTGCTGTGGCTGCTCTCCTCAAGGTCGAGGTCCAAAATGTCGTCACTCCCCAGGCTGTCTCTGCTGCTCCTCGCTCCCAGTTTTCTGCCGGAGCCGCGAAATCTGCCGTAACGTATGCCGCTGTTGTTGGTTTTGCTGCTGCTGCCACCGCTGCTGCTGCTGCTGCTGCTGCTGCTGCTGCTGTAGATGATACTCGGGCTCTTCTCGGCCGCTTCCTCAGCAGCAGCGACCTCCTCAAAAACACGCTTCATCCTATCACCGTCTCTTAAAACTGAGTACCAGCGCCATGTCCCCGCTCTGCTGCGTGTGCTGCAGCAGCAGCAGCAGCAGCAGCAGCAGCAGCAGCGGACCCGGACAGCGGCTATGCTGCTGCCAATGTTGCGGCTGATCAGGCCTGCTGCTGCTGCAGCAATGCTGTGTTGGCCATGTCTTTGCGCAAGGGCGAGTTGACCCTTAATGCTGGCATGGGAAACACCCCTGGCAGCAGCAGCAGCAGCCGCAGCAGCAGCAGCAACGGTTGCTTTGGATGCACTGCACTGCATCGTAGGAGGGAGGATCACCAGTACATACACTCCGTAGGCGGTCTCGCCCTTTTCTCCAGTTTCTTTTTCTTCTTTTTTAAAAAGAATTGTTTTTTCAGTGT